TTTGGGAGGGGGCGGAGACGGAAAAATCCAACCGGATCCAGAGTGGGAATTTCGGCCTTTTCCCAGGATTCCGGACGTGTGTCCTGGCCAACCATTGGCTGGACGACGGCGAGGGCCGGATCCGGAGGGCCCGGCTCATGGATCTGCTCCGGAGGCACTTCCACCTGGTGCTGGAATCCTGCCGGATCGGGATGGGAAAACCGGATCCCGGGATCTTCTCCCGCGCCCTGGAAGAGCTGCGGGCGGAGCCGCGGGAGGTGACGCCGGAATTCCCGAAAAAACTGGGAGTTAGGGGGTCGTTCCGGATTCCCGGGATTCCTGGGCTGATCCCGGTCGTTCCAGGCCATCCTGCTGGATGAGATCCCGGAAAACCTGGAGGCGGCGCGGGAGATGGGAATGGCCACGATCCTGGTGCGGGACACGGACACGGCGATCACCGACCTGGAAAAGCTCTCGGGGATCCAGGTGGGGATTCCCGGGATTCTTGGCATTCCTAGGATTCCTGAGGGAGCTGGAAAAGCTCTTGGGGCTCCAGGTGGGGATTCCCGGGATTCCTGAGGGAGCTGGAGAAGCTCTCGGGGCTCCAGGTGGAAATTCTTTGGGATTCCCGGAATTCCTGAGGGAGCTGGAGAAGCTCTCAAGGGGTCCAGGTGGGAATTCCTGGGATTCCTGAGGGAGCTGGAGAGGCTCTGGGATGTCCAGGTGGGGATTCCCAGGATTCCCAGGATTCCCAGGATTCCTGAGGGAGCTGGAGAAGCTCTCGGGGCTCCAGGTGGGGATTCCCGGGATTCCTGGCATTCCTGGGATTCCTGAGGGAGCTGGAGCAGCTCTGGGGTGTCCAGGTGGGGATTCCCGGGATTCCTGACATTTCTGGCATTCCCAGGATTCCTGAGGGGGCTGGAGAAGCTCTCGGGGCTCCAGATGGGAATTCCCAGGATTCCTGGCATTCCCAGGATTCCTGAGGGAGCTGGAGCTGCTCTGGGGTGTCCAGGTGGGGATTCCCGGGATTCCTGGCATTCCCGGGATTCCTGAGGAAGCTGGAGCTGCTCTGGGGTGTCCAGGTGGAAATTCTTTGGGATTCCCAGAATTCCTGAGGGAACTGGAGAAGTTCTCAAGGGGTCCAGGTGGGAATTCCTGGAATTCCTGAGGGAGCTGGAGCAGCTCTTGGGGCTCCAGGTGGGGATTCCCAGGATTCTTGGCATTCCCGGGATTCCTGAGGGAGCTGGAGAAGCTCTGGGGTGTCCAGGTGGGATTCCCGGGATTCCTGAGGGAGCTGGAGAGTCCAGGTGGGAATTCCTGGTATTCCTGAGGGAGCTGGAGAAGCTCTCAAGGGGTCCAGGTGGGAATTCCTGGTATTCCTGAGGGAGCTGGAGCAGCTCTGGGATGTCCAGATGGGGATTCCCAGGATTCTTGGCATTCCCAGAATTCCTGAGGGAGCTGGAGTGTCCAGGTGGGGATTCCCGGGATTCCTGGAGATCCCAGTGGGAGGAATTCCTGCCCATGGAATGGGATGAGCTTTGAGGTCGCTCCCATCCCAAATCCTGGCATTCCATGAATCCCGGGATCCCTGGAGAGCCGGGAGGGATGGGATGGGCTCAGGATCCCAAGGGATGTTCCCGGGAGCTCCGGAATTCCTTGGGATCTCATTCCCTGCTCCCAAATCCCGCAGCTCCGGAGCCTGGAGGAGCCGATCCCGAATCCGGGCGATCCATCGGATGTCGCCCACGGATACGTCCCCATCCGGGTACTGGGAATCTCTGGGATTGGGATGGGCTGGGAATGTGTGGGATCCAAGGAATGTGTTGGGAATGTGTGGGATCCAAGGAATGTGTTGGGAATGTGTGGGATCCAAGGGATATCCTGGGAATGTGTGAGATCCAAGGGATGTGTTGGATATCCTGGGAATGTCTGGGATCCAAGGGATGTGTTGGATATCCTGGGAATGTGTGGGATCCAAGGGATGTGCCGAGTGTGCTGGGAATGTCTGGGATTGGGATGGAAGGGAGTGGTGGGCTCTGGAATGCTGGGATGGAAGGGGGATGGTGGACTCTGGAATTCCAGGCTGGAGAGGGATGGTGGGCTCTGGAACATTGGGAATGGTGGACTCCGGAATTCCAGGCTGTAGGAAATGGTGGGCTCTGGAATTCTGGGCTGGAGGAGGCAGTGGGATTGGGAATGCTGGATAGAGGGGATGGTGGGCTCTGGAATTCCAGGCTGGAGGGGATGATGGGGTCTGGAATGCTGGGATGGAAGGGAGCGGTGGGCTCTGGAATTCCAGGCTGGAGAGGGTGGTGGGATCCGGAATGCTGGATGGAGGGGATGATGGGGTCTGGAATGCTGGGATAGAGCAGTGCTGGGCTCTGGAATTAATTCCAGGCTGGAGGAGCAGGAGGGCTCTGGAATTCCAGGCTGGAGAGGGTGGGGGGTTCAAAGGGGTTGATGGGCTCTGGAATGCTGGGATGGAAGGGGGATGGTGGGCTCTGGAATTCCAGGATGGAGAGGGTGATGGTTCAAAGGGGATGGAAGGGGCTTTGGAATGCTGGGATGGAAGGGAATGGTGGGCTCTAGAATGCTGGGATGGAAGGGAGTGGTGGGCTCTGGAATTCTGGGCTGGAGGAGGCAGTGGGTTCTGCAATGCTGGGATGGAGGGGTTGGTGGGCTCTGGAATTCCGAGATGGAGGGGAGTAGTGGGCTCTGGAATGCTGGGATAGAGCAGTGATGGGCTCCAGAATTCTTGGATGGAAGGGTGTTGGTGGGCTCTGGAATTTTGGGATGGAACGGAT